ATCAGAGGTCTCTTGTCTGTATTAATTCTGACAAAGGGGAATGAAATTCCTAACCTGTTAAATGTTTGAAATGCTGAGTTCAGAGGAATGAATCCTAGTAACAGAGGTGAAGAATAGGAATAATTTATTGAAAGAAAACTTCTGGCTAGGAGCGGCGAAAGGGGCCTGGAAAGTGGGTTGCCCTTTAACCCTGCTTCTCAAAGGTGTTTATTGTCATGAGGTGAAGCGGGTGCAAGGTGGGAATTAATCTATAAGATAATAGCGGGCATGATGGCTCAGGCCTGTAATTCCAGCACTCGGGAGGCCGAGGCAGGAGGATCGTTGAGAGTTCAAGACCAGCCTGGGCTACAAAGTGAGCTCAAGGCCTGCCTGAACTGCATAGGGAGACCCTGTCTCAAAAGACAAAAAAAAAAAAAAAAAAAAAAAAAAAAAAAAAAAAAAAATCTGTAAGATTACAAATATAGTAATATAGTCACTTAGGTAATATTGATCCAATGGCAAATCATAGAAAGGGTATGAGAAGGGACAAGACTATGGGGAACTGGGCTGAAGATTTAGCTCAGTGGCTTAAATGCCTATCTGGCAATTGTAAGGTCCTGATTCAATTCGCAGTACCAAAAAAAAAAAAAAAAAAAAAAAAAATCCCTAAAGTGCACTACCAAATCCAGAAGAAAAAATGAGCCAGGCGTGGCAGCACACACCTGTAATCCCAGCACTCATCTTGGGGAGGATTGTTGTTTGAGCTACAATATGAGCTCAAGGCCAGGGTAAACTGCACAGTGAGATCCTATCTCAAAGACAAAACAATACAAAACAAAAAACAACAAAAAAACAACAAGACTATGGTAAACCAATAAGGTTACAACACGTATAGGCACTAGGGGGTCAAACAGCCCTGCAGCAAGTGCATGAGTCTGCTCACAGGGTGGGTTAAAGGGGTTTGGTTGTCCACCCCAAGGGGACTGATGCCTCTTTAGAGTATCAGTCTCGCTGTTCATCCCTAGGGAAGTGTGAGTGAGGAGTTCTTTCTCCCGAAGCCTGGCCTTCAGGGAACACACCTTCAGCCACAGCCCTCTTCTGCCTTGACTGCTCCGGGCCTGGCCCTATGACTGCCTGCAATCTAACTTTGCTGTCTGTAATAGCTCTGTGTATATTCCTTCTATTGTTTTTCTAGGCCAGCGGAGATTGCTCTGCTTTCTCAGTTTCTGTCTCAGTTCTCAGCCAGCTTTGAGGCTACCCAATGTGAGCCTCTTAGGCTGGTCTAACACTGAAGATGATGTTTTACTGGTGATTGTTCGGATGATGCTTCTTTATTGTCTCAGCTCTTCTTTAGTTCAGTGCTCAGCCAACATCTGATAGGCTATGCCTTCTAATCACAGGCCAGCCTGCCACAGGTCAGCTTTGCTATCTGGGAAACAAATGCTTTTACCTGGTAACAATAAGCTGTGTTGCCACTTGATAATGGCCTCTCCAATGGCCATAATCTGTCTCTTTCCTATCACTGAGAATGGCATTCTCCAAACTTTTTTGATTATATTGTTCCCTCAGTATATTTTGGGGGGCATACTGTATTTGTTTAGAAGACAGTATATTTTCACCATCGTTTATAATTTAGTAAAAATATACAGTTCTGGATAACATGAAGTTCACTGTAAATAATAGTGGATACAAGTCAACATTTCAAATAGTCTTGAGGATTTGCTAGCTTTTAGTCAAATTTTGGATTAGGCTGTCATTTTAAATTTTAAGAGAGTCTCATTATGTTACTAAGTTGCCAGGACCGGGCTCAAATTTGTGACCTTCCTGCCTCAGTTTACCAGAGTGCTGGGATTTCAAGTCTTTACCCCCACACCACATGGTCTCATTTAAACTTTTTATTTTTTTGCTCCTTTTTTGAGACGGGGTCTCGCTATGCAGTTCAGGCTGGCCTTGCGCTCACTTTGTAGTTCAGGCTGGTCTCGAACTCGCAACGATCCTCCCACCTCAGCCTCCCAAGTGCTGGGAGTGCTATCAATGTTTTAATTTTTAAGAATAAATTTATCATGTATATTTAAGGTCTGCAACGTGATAATGGTATGAGATACATATATGTAGTTACTATATACACAGTTATGCAAAAAAATGGCTGTCAAAAATTTGATCTTAGAAGTCTATTTTTGTTCTCGTGATTTTTTGTAAGTCTCTTGTAAATTCATGTTTTGTGGGTTTCATTTTAAAACTCAAATAATATATTAGTAAAAGTACTTCACTCAGCAAGTGGGTCAGGTCACGGGAGATGGATCCCTGCTGCTAACCTGAGGGCATGTGCACCCCTATTTTCTCGAGGGCACCTCCCATACTGCTCCAGGACAAGGAAACATTCCACTAACTGAATACAGCATCATTCATTCTGCATACTGAATTAATTGAGTTCAATGCTATTTTTTAGATTAGAACTAAGCATATGAAGATTCCTCTTCTCTCCTGCATTGCAAATGGACTGTGTGGCGCCTTCTTTGGGGCAAATCGATCCTCCCCCCCTGGAATGTACGGACCTGAAGAAATTATTAGTTCAGAAAACAAGTCCTCACATAGGCAACGCTATTTCCATTTTAAAAATGCTCTTCATCTCGGCTGTTCAGTCATTTTATAGAAAATGGAATGACTTTGAAATGAATTGTCTTTATAGAGATCCATAATTTGCAAGCAAAATCTTTCACTCTACAAAATGTGAAATGTTCTAAGCAACAGCTGTGAGCATTTCAAACGTGCGCTACTTTTTAACGGTTCAACTGTTGCCAAGGGAAATTTGAGTTGGCTTCAAAATCTTTCCTGGTTTTAATGCTGCATTTTACAATCAGAAACTGAGGAAATAGGTTCTGCTTGGCAGGGATATCGAACTTTACTGAAGCTTGAGGTATAAAAATGTAAGTTTCAGCTGGGCATGGTGGCACATGCTTGTAATTCCAGCACTTGGGAGGCAGAGGCAGGAGGATCACTTGGAGCTCAAGGCTAGCCTAAGCTACCCAGTGAGTTCAGGACCAGCCTGGGCTATATAATGAGACCTTGTCTCAAAATAGAAAAAAAAAAAAAAAAAAAAAGAAAAAAGAAAAAAATGTTTCTTGCTGTTACAAACCGACTGGTGTTCTTCATGGTTTTATAAGGCTTCAGCGATGGGACCACAGCAAACATGGGCATTAGCTACGCAGGGGACAGCCATCTGCTGTCAGTAGGGGGCGCCTGCTTTCATCTCCGTTTCCCATTTCAGTTCTGGAATGTTTTTATTTTTCCATCCAACTGTCATTTCTAGGAGTGGGCGCAGAAATTTGCAACACCTGAATGCTAAACGACACGCAAGAAAAACAAGTGCATTTTCTTGTTGCCACTTGTACACACGGTACATAGAGCTTTGTGTATACTACATAGTTCTGTTCCGCAATTGTATCAGAAAATGTGCTGCAATGCTCAGCGGAAAAAAAACAGGTTATAGACTGGCACATATTATTGATACAAAAGGAAGAAAATACTGGAATGGAACTACACCAAAATGCTAATAGTGGTTCGCTTTGGGGTTGCGAGATCATGAAAAAATTTTTTTCTTTCCTAGTACTGTGGATTGAACCTACGACCTCCTCCAATAGACTAGTGATGTTAATTTTTTCTTTATCCGTCCCCTTTCCCGAATTTTCCGAGTTCTGAGGTACTGGTAGTCTGATGCCTGCGTTTCCTTTTCTGGCTTCAAAAAATGTAGATGGCATGTTCATGTGGACTGACAATCCAAGAACTATTTCACCACTTGATTGAGATGGAAAGCAAGTCCTCTCAATCACGACAGCGTTCCCACCTGCATAAGCTCCACGAGCAGCGGAGGCTTGCAGGAGCTTCAGAGAGCTCAACCTCAAAGCACACGTTTAGGAAGGAGGCGAAAAGGAATCGAAGCGTTGCTCAGGCCTTGGGCAGGGCCCAGGAGTTTAAATTAGGGCCTCCAATACGTAAGATTCGGCGGGAGGTAACCAGCTGAGGGCTTTCTGGACCAGTCTACATACGCAGAGGCGCCCGGCGCTGGGCCTTATTTCTTTCACTGCAGCGTGGGATCGGGGCCCGAGTGGGACTCTCGAGTTCAAAGGGGCCCATAAGAGCACTGCCCCGCCCTAGCCTTCGGAATCTTCCGGACGAAGAGAACTGCCGTCCAAAAGCGCCCAGTGCGGAGACGCTTCTCTCGAAGACCCGCCAGTAGCACACCTTCGGGATTAAGCTGAGCCTCTCCCAGGGCCAACGGTTGCCGCGGTGCACAGTCTTAGGGTACCCGGACGCCCGCCGGAAGCTGCAGCCGTGCTGCCCCGGTTCGCGGCTGCATCCGGGTTCCTCACACTCCGACCCAATCCTCGGCTTTCTCTCTTTCCACCCTCTTGTGTACCCCCCCCCTCCTCGCGCCGCCAATCCCAGATCAGCTCTCAGTCGAACATGCTGGTAAGGGAGTGAAGGCAGACGCCGGCCAATGAGGCCTTGCTTCCCGTTTAAAGTACCCAATGGGTGGCTGTCGGGGGCGGGTGCTGCTAGCAAGGAGGCTCGGTTGCGCGTGTGCCATGGACTCAGCCGCCCGGTGATATTGACAATAGGAGAGAGAAAGGGGCATTGACGAAGACCCACCGCAGGTAGCCAACGGCGGCTCTGGCAGCGGCGGCTGTAGCTCCAGCGGCTCCTCCTCCTTCTCCCGACTCCTCCGCCCGCTGCCGCTGCAGATCCAGTCTTCCTCCCTCCCTTCCCCCCTCCCCACGTCGCCGCCGGGTCCGGGGCAACGAGCTGAGGCGCCGCCCGCCGGGAATGTGAGCAAAGAGCCACCGGCGGAGCCGCAACAGGGTCGGTGCCGATTTGATGGGACGGGCCCGCGGGGGAGGATCGTGAGGCCGCCGCCGCCGCCGCCGCCGCCGGAGCGCTGAGGTTCGGGTCCGGCCGTGAGGCCTACAGGCGCCGCCGCTGCCGCCGCCGCGGAACCGAGGGGACGCCTTACAGGACCGCCGTCGCCCCGGACTCCCAGCCGCTGCCCGGACCTCCCCCTGCGCCCCGACCCTGCCGCCGCTGCCGCGACCCGTTCGCCCATCTCCCGCACCTCGGAACCACAGATCGTCTTAGATTCTTCCTCAGAAGCTTCAAGGTAACTTTGTCCCTTCGGCCCCGCGGTTCGCCCGCTTCCCTTCTTCCTCCCGAGCAGCCTGCGGAGCGCCGGACTTGGGAAGGCCCGGCCCAGGCAGCGAGGGGTGCAGCGGGGTGGGGTGTGCGCTCCCACTTGTCTGATCTACCTGCAGATGCTTCTGATGAGTCTTCTCCTTCGCTGGTCTTCCTTTCTCCATTTTTTCACCTTTTGGGATTTTAGGGGGTTTCTGTCCCCCTTTACTCCCGGGGGGTGGGCAGGGGAAGCGGGGGATTTGGAGTAGCCGCGATTTTCCCTGAGGCTTGGGGTGTAGGTAAGTATCTGTACGCAAACCACTTCCCTGCCCTCCACCCCCGGATTATCCCGAGCCTTAGAAATGCCCAGTGTCCCCTGCTTAGTGTGATAAAGCGCCTGGCTCCATGGCCAGGTGAAACCTGTTTCCCTGGGCTTTGCTGCCTATGTTCAGTTTTACAGTGTTCTAGGGCTGAGATCCTTGACGTTTATTCTGAACTGCAGATGTAAGGGACAAATGATTTTTAAAAAGCTACTTAGAGATCGTCATTGGAAATGGCTAATGAGGAATAAAAAAGAGATAAGAAGAGTGGTAGAGAATCCAGATTTATTGAAATCTTATGTTGTTAGGGTTAGAATGAGGTCTAAATAATTGAGGTACAAAAATCTGCCGCTAAATTTACAACATACAAATGTGACATGCAGGTTCTTGCTGATGCAGGCATCCTATTTTAAAGTGGTTTTACATTTTTCCATAGTATTCAAAGTTTGCAATTCCAGTTTGCATTTGTCACACTGTTATTATTTTTGAGTCAGGGTCTTGCTGTGTAGTTTAGATGGTCTTGAACTCGCTGTGGAGCCCAGGCTGGCCTCAATCTGAAGTGATCCACCTGCCTCAGCCTCCCTAGTGCTGGGATTCCAGGCGTGATCCACCATGCCAGGCTCATCATATTACTATATTTTTAAGGCTAACGTAGGTATTAAGCATTACTTATTAGACGAAAACCGAAAACTTAAAAATCCCTAACCCCAATGAAATCTGAACCTCAAACATAGCCTTCTCCACCTCCACCTCAGGTGTTTTTACTGTTTTTACTTTGTCAGGATCCAGGTAATTCAGAGAACTTTTTAGCCTTACACATTTGGGAAGAAGCTTCCTTACTCTTTCATATAGGAGTTAAAAAACTTGTCTTATGTATTGGAATGACAGGTGAGTAATTACCTTGCATCGTTTCCCCTGTACACAATATTTCTATCCACATCTGTCATTAATCTTACGGGGAACCTCAAAGCCCCGGGAATGATGACATCCACTTACTTGGTGAATGGAATTGAGCTTACTGCTTGTTACTTTGGGGAAATACCTTTCGTTTTAGTAATTGGAGAGTGTTGAAAATTGCAAAACACCGTTCAGTTTTCATCAGTTTGATGGAATGAAAATTGGTGTTTGAACTTCAGGATCTAAACCTCAAGGAAACTCCACGTGGTGGTCCAAGGCTGTGAAGTTATATTACAGTTAATCTTGGTGCTAGGTTTCATTATAGTTTGTTTAGTAAGCTTTAATAACTTAGATGGCTTCATTCAAAGGGAAAACTTCTTTGAAATGATTTAAACGGTGCCCTTCGTGTGTTCTGTTTAATATCCCGTCTTCATTTGCAGTGTGGTGATTTATTGTGGCAAATGCAGCACATTTCATTTAGAGTCCTGCTCAGATAGTTTCAGTAATAGTGAATTTCACTGTGCTGTGGCATGTTGGTGTAGATTCTTACAGTATAGTTTCAGCTCCAGAATTCATTCATAGTATTAAGTGTTTGGGGAAAGTGTCTCCGTGGAAGTTTTCCAGTTGCAGAATAGCTCCAAAATTACTTTTAGAATCAAGATGAAAAGAGTTTTGCAGTTAAAATGAGTAGACAGCATAGAAAGGTCAAGTCTAGATGAACATCTTATTAATGCTTTTAAAAAAGTAGTATAATACATGAGAGATACAAATCTACTTACATGATAGTAACTTTTTTGCATCAAATTTTCCTATTTGTAAGACTTTTTAAAATTGATTGTATTCACGTTCATTGACACATACTGGCATGTTCATTAATAGTACCTTTGGGAGATTGAGAGTTGTATAGTTGGACATACATGCTTGCACCTTGGGAACATGTTTCTGACACCTCTTTTTCTTCAGTAGGGATATGTCCTCAGCACCAACTACTCCTCCATCAGTGGATAAAGTAGACGGATTTTCTCGGAAGTCCGTCAGAAAAGCCAGACAGAAGAGGTCACAAAGTTCCTCACAGTTTAGGTCTCAAGGCAAGCCTATTGAGTTAACACCTCTGCCGCTGCTAAAAGGTAAGGCTTCGGGCCAGCTCCACTCTTTTTCAGTGCATCTTTAGTATTTCCTTGTGATTTCTTTTTGTAGACTTTCCTGTTTGTTCAAGTTCTGTGTTGCAAACTGAAAGGGTGGGAGGCTTCCCTGAAGTAGTGTGTGACCACTTGTACCCCCTCACCTTTTAAAAGATCTCGGTTTGGGCTGGGGATGTAGCTCAGTGGCAGAACACTTGTGTAGTATGCATGAGGTCCTGGGTTCAGTTCCTGGTACTGGAAAAATAAGCAAGGAAAAATAAGATTGAATCTAAATGGCCGAGGACAAGCAAAAGAAACTAGAAAATTTCTCCTGATAAGTGGAAAAATAAATGGTAGAGATGTGTAGGTCTGTGTTTTTCATTTTTTTCTTTGGTATGTAGGTGGATGCACTTTTTGCAATGACAACTACAAATCATATTCTTATGAAGTGTAGAACCTAGTAAAGGAGACAGTACCAATAACTTACACAAAGAAAATGGTGTTTGAAAAAATACATTTTTAGAAATTAAGAAAACATACGTAGTTTATAAATGATTCCATGCATTCTTATTTTGAAATGGTATAAACACAAAGTATGTGATGATCATACTTGCTTAATACATTTGTTTTCCTTCAGAGTGCTTTAAGAATAATTTTTTAATGTGAGATCTGTTTTTGCCTAAGTTAGACCTGTTGACCTATTTGAATATGTGGATTCTTTTTGTCCTTTTAAATTGTCATTTACTTGCTTCCTGTTTATGAACAAGCATTATTTGAAACTACTTGTAACAGTGTGGAAACTGTGACACTCTCTTTGGAGATGGAGTGTAGTTTACTGAGGATGCTGAGGGGGGAGGCTTCAGTTAACTCAAAGGAAACCAGGCAACCTGGCTGAGGAGTTCGTTAATGCACATTGAGTTCTGCAACAGTTTGTGAAATCAGAAGGAATTATAAGAAAAGCTGAAATGTGACTAGAAAAGATCCTCCAAGTTTAGCATAGGATATTTCAAGTTTCTCTTTTCCCTATGTGAACTTTTATTTTAAAGAGGAGATTCATAAATAAGATTCCAATGTTTATATTAAATCAGTGAAAATAGTCATTACTGTAAGGATGATATGTCTGTCTACCAGTTAGTGAAAAACAAACTTTTTAGAGCTTTGAGGGAGAGATTTTGACTAAAGATTTTATTAGTAAAAATGAAAGTAGCTTGTAAGAGGCTTTGGAGGAAAATGAAAGAGAAATTCTAGGGATAAAACTAAGCATGCCAGAAATACAAGATTGGAAGACAGTAGATTGTTTTGCAACTTGTTTAATATAGAGTAGAAATGTAGCAATTATTAGCGTCATATCTGGTGAAAGAAATACTCTCTGGGAAGCCTAGATTAAACTTTTTGTAGGATTACAAGAAATTTTACCTTTTTTTTTTTTTCTTTTATTGGTACCCGGGATCGAACTCATGACCACACACGTGCAAGGCAGGTGCTTATGTCACTGAGCTAAATCGCCAGCCGAGAAGAAATTTTAAAACATTAATTTGTAAGCCTATAAACACTTAAATTAAAATCTGACTAACCATTTACGGCAAAAGTATTGGTTGTGTGGGTAGTGAAAGGTGTGCTTGAGAATTTTTATGCATGCTATCACACTTTTTTGTCTTATTTCTCTTTTCATTGTGAGAAATAGACACATATACAATGTACCATTTTTAAGTTTGCAACTCAGCGTCAGCATTAAGTAGATCTACATCCTTGTGCAGCATCTCCACCACCCATCTCCAGGAGCATCCTGTCTTCCTGGATTGATACTTTGTCCATCAAGCATTTTGTTTTTTTGCTATCCCTACCCCCTGGCAACTGCTATTCTACCTTTTGTCTCCATGAATTCCACTGGGTACCACTGATAAGTGGAGACAGGCAACATTTGTCCTTTCCGAGTGGCTGGTTTCACTTAGCATCCTCTCCTAGGTTTACCCGCGTGGTAGCGTGTGTCAGAATTTCATTCTTTTCTATGGCTGAGGAATATTTCAGTGTGTATATGTGCCACAGCCTATCTATCAGTGGATGTTGGGTTGCTTCCACCTTTTGGGTGTTATAAATAATGCCACTGTGACCATAGGTATAAAAATAATTGTTCTGGTCTCTGCTCTCATTTCTTTTGGGTGTGTGGCTAGAAATAGAAGTGCTGGATTATGTGTTTAATTTCTTGAGGAGTGGCCACACTTTTGTATAGCACCTGCACCACTTTCATCCCCATTGCAGGGCCATGGGAGCTAAGTTCTTCATGTCCTCACTAACGCTTGGTGATTCTGTTTGTTTGCCAAAACCATTGGAATGGGCATGGAGTGGAGTTTCACTGTGATTTTGATTTACATTTACCTAATAATTGGTGATGCTGAGCTCTGTGTGTATGCTGGCCATGTATGTATCATTTTTAAAGGGAAGCATAGTACTAAAAGATCTCTGCTTTCCAAGGATATTGTTTGTGTGAATTGGTGTACTTTGCCAGCAAGGGAGAATTAGAAAGCAACAGGACACATCCACAAGCCTCATTCTAGACTGACACAGTGACTCTTGTGTAGCTAGCATGTTCTGGGCGAGTTGTTTAGAAAGCATTCTGTAAATTAGATTTCCATGTGTATCTACAGAATGACATAAAGAGCAGTAGTCAGAGACAAGACTATAGGAATGTGTGTTTGCTTTTTAGAATGCATGTGAAGAGTGTGAAATGAAGACATTTATTTTCCTCATAGTGGATTGACTTATCTCCTTATGGTGGGCTGGCTTATGTGTGCATTGTATTCTCACCAACTTTTTGGAAGAAAATTTCTTGAAGTCTTGGATGTTGAACCTAGGGCATTACAGAGTTAATGAAGCTTTCTACCACTGACATACATCCCTAGGCCTTTGGAAGTAATTTACAGAATGGAAAGAGAATTATAGGAGTTTATTCTCTAGGACTTTGGTTTTTGTGTGTGTGTGTGTGTGGGGGGAGGTTTGGTGTATTTGAGACAGGATCTCACTATGTAGTGCAGGCTGGTTTTGAACTGGCTTTTGTAGCTAGCTCTGAGGCTGGCCACAAGCTTGTAGTGATGATCCTCCTGCCTCAGTCTCCTGAGCGCTGGCAACATTATCCATGTGTCACCAAGCCCCGCTGTAGGCCTTTGTTTTGGTTTGGCCACTGGCTTAGGAAAAACCAGCATAAACTGTTCCAAATGAGGGATACTGATTTAGTTTTCTATAGTATTTGTTTTTCTTTTTCTTTCTTTCTTTTTTTTTTTTTTTTTTATGGTACCAGGGATCAAACTCACAACCTCACACTTGCCAGTCAGGCACTTAGGCCACTGAGCTAAATCCCTGGTCCTTTTCTTTTCTTTCTTTCTTTCCTTTTTTTTGAGACAGGGCCTTGCTATATAGTTCAGGCTGGCCATGAACTCACTGCTTAGGCCAGGCTGATCATGAACCTAGTGGCTATCCTCATGCCTGAGCCTCCTCAGTGGTGGGATTACAGGTGAATATGTCATGCCTACCTTTGCAGTATTTCTCTGACTAAATTTGAAGGTTTAAATTTATTTGAGGTGCAACATAAATTGTAATTGAGTTGTAAAGAATACAGTAGGTTGAGCATGGGATAGCATGCCTACAGTCCCAGTAGGTGGGTAGCTGAGGCAGGAGGATTGTGAGTTCAGGTCTATCCTGGGCTAGATAGTGAGTTCAAAGCCAGTAATGGCCATCCTCCACTACCTAGCAAGGTCCTGTCTCAAAAAAAAAATGCAAAGGGCATGTCCTCAAGCTCTAATTCCAGAGGAGTTTGAATATAGAAATTATGTAAACATAATTAGCTCTTAATATATAGTTTTTGCAATCTCAGGGATTAGATATTCATTCATCACTTGGCTTGTGTGTATTATTAGAATGCTTTATTACATGCATCATCATATTTGACAGTTTTATAAACGAAACTGTATTAATTCTTTTATTTTGAGACAGTTTCACTATGCAGTTCAGGCTGCCCTGATCTCACCTTGTAGCCCAGGCTGGCCTTGAACTTGCAAGGATCCTCCTGCTTCAGCCTCCCAAGTGCTGGGATTACAGGTGTGTGCCACCATAACTGGCTAAGCTGCATTAATTTTTAGCTGTTGCAGGTTTGTTTACTGACAGAACTATAACATATACTCTAGGTTTTAGCCAAAATGCCAAGAAGCCAGTGTAACATATAGTGAAAGGAAAGTTTCTTGCTTTGCCGTTTTCCTAAAATTTGGGTTTGAAATTTGTGTTATTGATATTATTTTCTGTGGAGAGCGACACCAGCACATAGCTCTGTGTAATTATATAGTGAGTGATCGAGCTTTTCTTTAGATAAGTTCCATGGTAAACTTTGTGAATATAGGCATTAGAATTCTCTCCATCTTTGTATACTGCTAAAAGTAGTTTTGTAAGGTTCTAAAATTTCTGAATATGAAGGACTGATCTGTTTTGCTGGTAAGGAACATCCTGTAAAGGTTGGTGCATCAGGTGCTTGCTGGGAAAGTAAAGACTTGGCTGTGTTCTTTATACCATCACAACACCACAGTGACATGAGCTTTGACAGCTATCCGGGTAAGCTGCTGCAAAATGACAGACTCAACTCAGGCAAACCCTGACACACAAATTCATGTGCACACACGCGCGTACATTTCTGTTAATAACTAATAATAGTACCTGGGTGGGTAATTCATGTTTCCCCTTCAACCCATAATCCCATGCTTTGTTTCCTTTTATCTTTTGTTTGTTTGTTTGTTTCTTGAGGCTGGGTCTTACTATGCAATTAGGCTGACCTTTAACTCACTATGTAGCTGAGGCTGCCGTGGACTCACAGTGATTCTCCTGCCTGAGCCTCCTGTGCCACCATGCCCGGCTTCCTTTTATCTTTGAGTTTAAATTATTCTGTATATTTAGATTTGAGTGCAATATGTTTGCAAAACTCCATCTTTGAAGATGGAGTTACAATGAAATGACATTATTCTTTC